ACTTCGCGCAGTCACCGCAGGGGAGAAATTAGTTATTTATCTGTAGTTGGTGCTCACTGGTGGTCAGCTGTACGGGCGATTTGATGTGCAGAAAAGCTTGTCATATCCTGAAGGAACTTGGTTCAGCGGCGTTGCGAGGAGCGCAGGGACAGACCCACTGTAACATGGGCTGTGCTCTCTACACTGTAACAAGGGCTGGTGGCTGATGAGTGACTTCTGAACGTTGCCTTGCAGAGATCAGGAATGGGAATCTAAAGGCCATCCTGGGCCTTTTCTTCAGTTTATCTCGATACAAGCAACAGCAGCAGCAGCCACAGAAACAGCAACCGCAACACCATCCGTCCCAGCAGCCTCCCCCAGTCTCCCAGCAAGCGTCCCCGTGCCAGGTCGGGGTACCCCAGCAGCAGGTACCGGCTCTGCTCCAGACTCCGTGCCAACAGCCCCTGCAAGCTGCGCAGCATCAGTTCAAAGCACAACCAGAAATGCAGTCCAGGTGGGAATATTTCCTTTAAGTTGTGGGGGTTTTTTTCTTATTATTAGGGGTTTTTTTCTTTTTTTTTTAATTTTAGTCGTGTTAAAGGTCTTCAAAAGCCGAAGAAACTTTTTTCCTCAGGTCTATTCTAGAATAAAGAGTGTTGGAAATTTAATGCTGAGTAGCAATTGACTTCACACGTTGGGAAATCAAAACAGATGTGCTGAAGTACATTCTCGGTGCTGGAAATACCCAGTCTGATGGGTGTAAAATACCTGCTGGACCAAGTAACCAGTGTGTTATATTTTTCTCAATATTCCTTTTGCCTATTTCTCCTTGCAAAACATGTGCATCATTGCCATTACAGAACATATACTTTAGACATGTGAAAACCTGTATTGGTTCTCAGTTTGCAGGACTTTCAGTCCTCCCTAAGAAGTGGAAGGCTCTGACAGTGGTAAAAGAAATCGAGCTCATCACAGTTGGTGACAGTCAAAAGCAAATCTAGACTTTCTGGTCAAAAAGAGTATGCTGGCTTAATAATAATGTTCACAGCTGGTGCTTGTTGGCACTTTTAATTCAGAATACTGGTAACTAGAGGGACTCTTTGTCCCTTGAATATCTTTAATCCTAAGAATGGTCCTTCCAGATTACAATAACAGCAGTTGATGAAGGCAGGACCACTGTGAATGCGTGTACAGCCTTCTGCTTGTCTGGCCCTTCCACTGCTCCAAGGGTGAGGGGTTTAGTGGGGATAGGTGGGCAGGATTAAGGACTGAAGCCATATTGGCACAATTATTAAAGTATGAAGTTGTGGGGTTTTTTTCCTCTAAATTAAGGCTTAATTGTGTCAAAAACCCCACATGTGTACACTAGTTTAGGTGCTGCTTTGTGAGGAGTATAAACAGTTTAAATGGAGCCTTGTTCCAAGTGAGACTACTCAGAGCTCATTTGGTTTGTGCTTATGTTTTTTCTTCATGAATCATGCTCTTTTTGGATGTAAACCTTTTTTGCTATAGCGTGTATAAACTTATACAGGCATTAAATGCTGTAAACCAAAGATGTATTTGAACAGATTTCTGTAATTCTTCTGTCAAAAATACTCAGAGATGCGTGGGACCATTTCAATATTGCATTGATGTTTTCAGTCCATTGTGTGAATTGTGTTGGGTTTCAAATAATTCAAAAATATTCAAGCTGAAGGTCTTAAATGTCATGTTTTCTTAGTATATACTACAGTTAAATTGCTCAGATTCTGTAGAAAATACATATAATTAAAGATTGAGAAGAAAAGGCAAATAAAGTTTGGGTCTGCATGCAGAATTGCATGCTTGTTACTCTATAACAATTAATTAATTTCATATTTTAGGAGTTTTGACCTGAAGTCATACTGAGGCAAGTAACTTTGCTTTCTTGTGAAATTCAGAAAAACCCTTTCCTCCCTACAACTAGATATTAAGTTCAGTGACTTAAAAAAAAACAACCAGCTTTCTTTGTTCAATGTTGTTATCTTCCGCTTTTTCTTTCCTGTCACAGTGCATCTCCCAGGGACTCATCTCAAAGCAAAATCATCCGATTCACTCTTGGTCAGAAAAAGTCTTCTAGGTTAGCACTTCTTCATCTTCTGCAAAGCATGAATAATCTTTTTTGCATTATTTCTGGATGCATGTTTAGGGTTCCTATTCAAAATAGTTTGTAAATAGGTGTTTTGTAAACAGCCGAAACATGGAAGCGTTGGGTGGAGTTGAGTTTTATTTATTTTTCTCTTTCAAGGTGTGAAATGTGATCTGGGCTGCAAGAAAATAATTTGGATTTCTTGTCCTTATGAGCTTTTGCTTTTGAGACCAAAACATGGTTCTGGGAGTTCTCTCCCCACTCTCTTAGTTGTATCTAGATCTGGATTACTGAAATGACAGTGGCAGGTTAGTGTCTTAGGTCCGTGTCTTAGCTGGTCCGTGGAGCATCATGTGAACCGTGCGAGCCCACGCAGCACCGTGTGGGTCTGTCTCATCAGAGCTCCTGCACTTCCTAGTGCTCTGAGGCTGAGCATATGTAATCTCCCTAAAAATCATTAATAGGTATTTCAGTGTATATTTTTCTGGAAGCCCAGCATGACTTGCATGCCATCTCATCTCAGTGATCATGAGGGTTGTTGTGTTATTAATGTGCTTATGAATCATGTTCATTTTTAATACTGTTATATATTAAAATGTTTTACTAGGTGTTTTTGTATAGTTACACGTTGGTGACCTACACCTTTTTTGCTAAGCTTGTGAACTATTAGGATTTTTATTCAGCTTGGAGAGTTTGTATAGATGGTTAGTTCTGCTGTATAGTTTGAATTTATTTCCCCCATCATATTTCTCTTATGACAACAGTGAAGAGCTGCAGTATGACCCCTCTTAAGACGTCTCATGTTTCCTCTTCATGTTCTCTGGATCCTAATTACAGCTTGACAGTTCCTGTTTGTCTAGAAGAGGTGCTCAAAGAGCAGCAGTAAAGGAGAGTGCTCACCGAGCTCAGTACCTTGGCTCTAATAGTAGGAAGCTAGAAGCATCTCCCCGAACCTGTTTTGTTCCCTAGATTTCACAGGAACTGCTGTGAAATATCTTGGCCTAGTACCAAAAGCAGGAGCTTAAAAATCAGTCAGTTAAACTACAGGGGAGAAAACAAGGTCTAAGAGAAATGATAGTGCCTTCAAGAGTGTTTCTGGCATGTATGGGTTTTTTTATTCCTAGTATATTTCTATTGGCAGTGACAATACTGACTTGAATCGAAAAATTGTCACTTCCTGAGTGGTCACATGGTTTGAGTAGCTTTATTTACTTTAAAACGTGACAGATTTACAAAACCTGTGTGGGTACGTGTGGGGTGCCTTTTCTTAGCCATCAGGACAAGAATGTTATCCCTTCCCTTATGCCAGGCCCTCTTAGAAAACTCCCCTCCCAGTACTGGGGACTCTTAATGGCTTTTTGCTGCTACTTCCAGTGTTTTATCACTGGGTAAAAAGTTCCAGCTGAGTTACCTTGTGTGTTCTTCCTACCTATAGGAAACCTAGCTGGTTTGCTATCAAGCAAAACAAACTCTTAATGATTTTTCTTGTCCTGGTGGCTTCCAAGTTCTCGAGAAGAGTGTTTGCCCCTGGTTTGTCTCTGCTTCTTCCCATGTAGTCCCTTCTACAGTGGATGAAGCATCTCTGGGGTGTTCTGGTTTACACCTTGCTGCAATGATGAGGATGGACAACTTTCTAGCACCCCCCAGTGTTGAAAAAGGCTGGATAGATTGAAGGGCTTGTCTAGAAAGCTTCAGAAAGTCAACCTCGGAACCATGATGTGCTGTGCCAAATCTGTGGTGGCTTGAGCTTGAAAATTAATTTTTTTGTTTTTGTATTTGAATGACGCCCTTATGTCTTATCCTCTTTTGAGCTTTGAAAGCATGTGCATGCAGCTGCTGACATTTTTGCTCTTTTCCTTTGTGTTTCTTTTCGTATTTCCTATTTCTGCATTAGTTTTGGAGAAATCAGTTTATTTAGGAAGCCCTGCCAAACTGCTTCACGGCTCCTCTTCCTTCCCAGAGGCACAACAGTGATTTGGTTGGTTGCATCCCTGTTCTCTCTGACAACTCTTCTTCATTTTAGCCTGTCATTGGCACAAGTTATTTAAGCCAGATTTTTGTGTTGTGTATAAAGAAGTTAAAAAGAGATTCTACCATATAAAAAATAACAAATGCAGCAAAGAGTGATCCCTAACTGTAGGTGATGTGAAGTGTTTCTGTCTTTTAGTGTCTAATGGGATGTGCTTGTTTTTCGAACAGTGAGCTGTTCATTAGCTCTTCAGGATGTCTTTCAAGCAACTACCAAAACTTTCCATTTTTATTATTTCATCTATTTGGAATATAGACATATGTGCTATTAGTGCACAAAATACAGCACAAACATGGAAGTTTTATATGTGAACTTTGACTTCGAAGGACTTGGGCACACATATTGTTCTGAGAAGCGATGCCAATGGCTTTACTAATTCTGTTGGGCTTTTTTAGAAAAGTGTTCCCCCGCTCCTGTCACCTGAAAAGCATGAAAGTAGTGTCCCTTCCTGTCTACTTACTCCAAAATCACTACTTTTTTTTTCTAGGTAAACAGCTCAATCATGTAAATACAGACTACGGTAAGGAAATGCTAGAGAAGATTGACCCAGTTTAAACCAGAGGCTTTACCAGCTCACTGCTGATGTGGTTGCTCTAAGAGGGAGCACTTTGTGTGATTTGGGTTTTTTTAATTTTTTTTAATAGCCTCAAATAATTAAACCAAGTTCCAAGTTTCACTGGGCTTGGCTTCTAGGGTTTGTATCTTTCTGGGCGGAGATGTGCTTCTCTGCAAAAGGAAGAAGTAGCCACGTTTTGTCCAGTTGCTATTTCCAGAATAAGGGTAGCCCTTATGTGCCCGACATAAGTGTCCAGAGGTTTAAGAACAGCAGTATCTCATTTAGTTTTAACCTTGTACCATTAGTATTGCTCCACTGAATTGCCTTGCAACTCTTTACTGATTCACAAGATTTGTGGCAACTGACCATTAATTTCATTTCAGGGTGGTTTGTTTTTCTTTTCTGATCTAAACCAGTTCAGCCTGTAGCTTGTTTGACATATATATTCCATCTAGGATGATTTTTTTATTTGTTCTTATAAAAGAACAGAGACCCTTAAGAATATATATTTGTGGTACTGATCCTTTTCTTTCCAGCTTATGCATGGTATTTCATAACATCTTTACCAGAGCGCTTGTTAAATGTATTTAATCATATTGTAATTCTCTCATCAGACTTCCAGGCCCCACCACGAGAGTGTCCGCTGCAGGCAGTGAGGCCAAAGCTCGTGGTTCTATTAGTGCCAACAATCGACGCAGCCAGAGCTTTAATAATTACGACAAATCTAAGCCTGGACTTCCCCCTCCAACGCCAACGAGTAGCAATGACAAAGGTAAGCACTTGAGATTTTGGCATCCTCAAATTGTTCTTAGCAGTGGCTTTGTTTGGGGGAAATTGAATTTTCCATTAAGCTCCAGAAGTTGTAAGACGGTTTCAAAACTGTGTACATGGTGAACATGACATTTAAAATCTAAAAAAACCCAGCTGGCTTTCCTTTAAAAAGATACTATAACTGCAGTTGTGACTTGCTGTCCTGAAGGTACATGCAAAAAATAACTTCAAGAAAAACTGGCAGTGGTGAAACATGTTTCTTTCTGTTTGCATCAGGCACAGAGAAGGGGGAGTGAATTAATCAAAAAATAAGACATTTTGATGAGTAGCTTGACAGGAGTGGAAAATGACCACTAAGATTTCATCAGTGTATTTATATGATAAATAGTACCAGTTCCGTTCCTCCGGTGTTGTGGAAGATCCTTTAAGTCACAAAAGTACATAATTTAAATTTCAAGGATTGTATAGCATAGGGTTTGAAGGCAAGAACATGTTGTAGTTTTATGAATGTTGTGGTGAAGCTGTGTCTGTGGCGGTGGATTGAAAATGCTGAGTTCAGTGGTCTGTCTGAAGTGGTGCTTTTTTGAATGACATTTACCCACTCTGTCCCCATTCACTAAGCCCATCGTCTGACAGCCTTCATTAGCCTGAGTTTGTAGCTCTGAGCTCTGTAATGCAGCATTTACCAGTGGAGTTTAGGGGGTTGTGGCTGGTTGAGAACGGAGCAAATTGCTCTAGTCTGCTATGGTCAAATTGTTGGCATAGACTGGCAGCTAATTCCATATTCTGAGCAAAGTCATTGCCCTTACAAAGACCGAGTCGGCACCGGCTCCTTGCAGTGATGTGGCAGTCGCAGCCTTTAGGCTCAAGTCTCCCTGTTGTCTGTGCATAACTTCTAATAACAGTAATGAGGATTTTACTTGAGAAAAAAAATCATGGTCTGGTTCAACCTGCCTGTGGCTCTCATGCTTGTTTCTTTTCAAGAAATTGTGTTTTTTCTTCCCTAGACACTGTTGTCCCCTGACTGCGCGTCATGAGATTTTTGGAGTATTGCCCCACCTGGCCATTATAGCCCAAAACCCCATCTTGCTGTGATGGCAACGGAGGGTCCTCAGCAGGGACGTTCCAGATTACCCTGATCAGACTTTATAGAAGAAAATTAAATTCACAGACGAATAATGTAATTGTTATAAATATAATAGAATGCATTGGAATAATATGCAAATAAATTAGCAACATTCAACCTTGCGAAAATCGTACTTACTATTTCAGAAGGTAGGCTAAGGAAACAGTAATGATTTAACTGAAACATCAGCATGTAATAATCATCTCTAAATCTGAATTAGATCTGGCTTTCAGTTTGAAGAACAAGCTGGCAAGTTCTGGCATGAGCCGGAGAACTGATAAAACCTTGTATTCCGATGTCACAGAATCACAGAATGTTCGGGGTTGAAG